GGCCACATGCAAATACAAATATTGTATTTGTTCCCGTTTTGTTTTTTTTATTTCAAAATAAGGTATGTGCAGTGTGCATAGGAATTTGTTCATAGTTTTTTTTTAAACTATAGTCCGGCCCTCCAACGGTCTGAGGGACAGTGAACTGGCCCCCTGTTTAAAAAGTTTGAGGATCCCTGGTAGGCTCTCAAAGAGAGAGCAGGAAGAGGAGAGGGGGTGGAGGGCATGGGAAAGTGTGGGTCTGGGGAGGTGGGCAGGGGTGGGCTGGAATGGTAACGGCTAGCGTGGCACAGGCTAGGCATGTCACGGCAGACTTTGGTTCGAGGACAATATCACTCGCATTGACTAAGCGAAGAATGTCAGTTAGCACTTACCAAATGTGTAACCTGCTCGAGGCACCCAGCTCTGAGCTTCAGATACATGACTCATTTAGGATTTAGAACAATGCCCTGTGGTCAGCAGAGCAGATCTTCACCCTGTCTGAACCAGGAAATAGTGCCTGTTGTTAAAGGTCAGCTAATTCCTAACTGGCTTATGGCCTGCACGTACTGCCTAATTAATGTTTTAAATATCACATGTGGAGCAGGTACTGCTATTATCTCCATCTTACGGAGGGGGCAATAGGTGTAGAGTAAGGTCAAATGGTTCCAGGGCCCAGAGGCCATAACTAGAGACTGAGGGTTGGGGGGTGGGGGGAGAAACCAGCACTTCTGGCTCCCATGCCCCTGTGCTTAACCACAGCATTTATGGTCTCACATTTGAGATGAAAGAATGTAAGTGAAGTGGGAGGTATGCCCGGTATTACCTGAGATATTTACAAACAAATACAGATTTTCTGTTGAGAAATCAGCTGACAGTTGCATGGGCACTCCCTTGTAGGGAGCTTTTCTCCTGCTGCGTTTAAGATTCTCTCTTTGTCTTTAACCCTTGGCATTTTAATTATGATGTGTCTTCATGTGGGCCTCTTTGGGTTCTTCTTGTTTGGGACTCTCTGCACTTCCTGGACTTGTAAGTCTATTTCTTTCACCAGGTAGGGGAAGTTTTCTGTCATTATTTCTTCAAATAGGTTTTCAATATCTTGCTCTCTCTCTTCTCCTGTCACCCCCATAATGCGAATGTTGGTACTCCTGAAGTTGTCCTGAAGGCTCCTTATACTATCTTCATATTTTTTAACTCTTTTTTCTTTTTGCTCTTCTGATTGGGTGATTTTTGCTTCCTCATATTCCAAATCATTGATTTGATGCTCAGAATCCTTAACTCTACTGTTGAATCCCTGTAAATTATTCTTTATTTCAGTTAGTGTATGCTTTATTTCTAACTGGTCCTTTTTCAAGTCTTTTATGTTCTCACTAATATTCTTGAAATTCTCACTAAGATCCTTGAAAGTCTCACTAAGTCCTTTGAAGCTCTGACAGCTGATTTTTCAACAGAAACTTTGCAGACCATAAGGGAGTGGCAAGAAATATTAAAAGTGATGAATAGCAAAAACCTACAACCAAGATTATTCTATCCAGCAAAATTATCATTTAGAATTGAAGGTCAGATAAAGAGCTTCAGACAAGAAAAAGCTAAAGGAGTTCATCACCACCAAACCAGTATTATATGAAATGTTGAAGTGTATTCTTTAAGAAGAGGAAGAAGATGACAATAATGATTTAAAATATAAACAATAAAATGGCAATAAATACACATCAATCAACAATCAAACCTCAAAATAAACAAATAAGGAATATGGTGAACAAAATAAACTGATGAATAAAATAGAACCAAAAGCCATAGAAGCATGGAACAGACTGATGAATCTCAGAGGGAAGGAAGAGATTAACTAAAGAATTTATATGCATATATGCATTACCTATGGACACAGACAATAGGGTGGTGAAGGCCTTGGGTAGGGAAGGAACCGGGTGGATGGGGACAATGGGGGAAAGAAAGGGGGACATCTGTAATATTCTCAACAAAAAGATTAAAAAACAAACAAACAAATACATAAACAAAATGACTAAGTTAGAAAGGAGGCAACATGAACACACAGATCTTGGATTTCTTCTGCACAGTGAGTGTTGTGAAAGAAGGTGAGTTTCTGCTCTGAAATGTTCAGTGGACATGAGCAGAGCAAGGACAATGGGCCAGGGACAGAAGGTCACCAGGACAGAAAGCCCCAGGTACCTAGCAACTGGCAAAACTGGGAAAATAAATCTCACCCTCAGGGTGACCTTTCCTCCCCTAGCATATCGCTAGTCATGTGGTTTAGACCCTCTTAGAGAAGGAACAAGGGGGACGGAGAATAGCCTCATATGACTCCCATACAAGCCCTTGCACAATCACTCCCTTAAGCATTAAGCCTTCAGGACAATGAGGTTCTTCTGATCAGCATCAAATAATCTTAGGAACAAAGCCTCGGGTCTGTAGACTACAGAGACAGTCAAACTTGAGATAACATCTAGGCTTCAGTTGTGTTTCAGCTCCAGGCCCAGAAAAGTAGCAAAGCCAGAGGAACCTACATCAAGGCTACCATCAGGACCAGACACAATGACCGCAGAGCCAACCAATGAGTAGAGACCATGGCTCTGAAATAGCACACCTGGAGAGTTGATGGATACTCTATCATGATCCTCCCCTGGGACCTCCCCTAAAATCCCTGCCCTTAAAAGCCTTAGGACTGAGGATTCAGCTGGGAACACAGCCTCCCCACCCCCCTCCTTCCCCTAGGCACGTTTTCCTTCTCTCTCTCAGCCCTCCCAACTTTGGCCTCTGTATCTTGTCTCCTGAGCCCATTTCTTTTACGGCTCACTTCTACCTCTGTGACTTTCTAAATAAACTTTTGCTTGTATTTGAGTCTTGGCTCTGAATTTCTTAGCTAGAACTCAAGTACCGAGGCTGCTGAAACCGAGGTCCAATCACCAGGAACATTCTGGTGCCGTTTCGCCACCAACAGACATAGCGCTAAAGCGCAATGATATTCTCTAGACTCTGTAAGGGCACGTTTTGCTTTCTGAAGCTCAACTCCAGAAGGCTTTTGAAATTCAGCACTGAACAATGGCTTGCCAGAACCAAGACCTGGAGGAGAGGGGACACCTGGATCATGTGACAAGGCAGTGTGTCCAACAGAAATGGAGAACAGGACTCTTCCAGAGGGGCCAGGTGGGATGGTGGGGGGGGGAGGGGGGCAGGAGGCTGAAGGAATGCCCCTATCTACTGGGCTGAGCCAGCCCACTGAAGCCCAAATGGCTTTCATTGTCCCTGGCAAGTATATTAGTTCCCCAGGGCAGCCAAAACAAAGTACCATAAACTGAGTGGCTTTAAGCAACAGAAATGTATTCTCTCAAATTTCTGGAGGCCAGAGTCTGCGATTGAGGGGTACGTGGGGCCGCGCTTTCTCTGAGGCTCTGGGGAGATTCTCTCCCTACCTCTTTGTAGCTGCTGGTGGCAGCTGTCCATTCCTGGCGTTCCAAGGCTTGCAGCTGCATCAGTCCAATCTCTACCTCTACTGTCACATGGCTTTCTTCCCTCATATTCTCACTGTCCTCTCATGAGGACACCCGTCATATCGAATTAAGGACCCTCATGACTCCAGTATGACCTGATCTTAACTAATTACACTCACAATAACCCTATTTCCAAATAAGTTCACATGCCCAAGTTCTTGGGGTTAGGACTTTGATTATCTTTCTTTTTTTGGGGGGGGGGGAGGGGAAGAATAGAATTCAACCCGTAACAGTAAGATTCTTACTTTCAAATTGTTAAAGAATGGGAGCAGGATGTCTGTGAATGTCCCCTGTTCCACAGCTGTGGGCCAGCTGTCACTCACTGAGCAATCATTTTTAAGAAGGAAGCGAGGTGGGTGGATGGCTGGATTAGTTTGCGAGGGCTGTCATGACAAAGTACCACAACTGGGCGGCTTCGTCCATAGAAATGTGTTGTCTCACAGCTCCGGAGGCCAGAAGTACGAAGTTGAGGTGTCGGCGGGGCTGGTTCCCCCTGCGAACTGGGAGGAACTATTCCGGTCCTCTCTCCTTGGCTTGTCGAGGGCCATCTTCTCTCTGTGTCCCTTCAGATCGTCTTCCCTCTGTATGTACCCCTGCATCCACATACCCCGTTTTTATAGGGACACAGGCATGTGGAAGTAGGGCCCAGCCCAATGGCCTCACTTTAACTTGATTAACTCTACAGAGACCCTACTTCCAAATAAGATCACGTTTTGAGCTGCTGGAAGTTAGGACTTTAACATTATGAATGGGGAGTGGGGGGAGGTTTGATGGGGGGGTGAAGGGGATGACAATGCAACCCATAACAATGGTGTGGTGACACTTCTGCTATATAGGCAGCTAAAGGGGAGGACTCAACGCCACTGTGGCTGCATCTGCCAGTTCCCTGGCAGGCTCCCTTCCCAGGCCACAGCCCGTCACCAGCCCCTCCTCTGAGCAGAGACAGCGCAGTCTAAGAGAAGACAAGGCAAGCCATATCCAACCTGTAGAAACGTCCTGGTTTCCTGCAGCATTTAGCATGTGACCCAGGGTGTTTGGTGACATCGCTGAATTGCTGTTAAAGTTTGGTAAGAATAACCACTCAGAGTCCAGTTTTCCCCCCTCATCTCTCTGTGGCACCAGGTTTAAAAGAAGACATTATATGTGGCACCACCTAGAGGCAGAAGGTGAGAAAGATGATGAAAAGGAAAGAGGACGCCCCACTCTCCCACCTCTTCGCTTCCTTATTTTTATTGTTGACACTATCACACATGTTCCCATCCCCCTGTGCAAGCTCATGTGGCTCAGCTTCCTCCTCATACGGACTTGTGACAACTGAGTCAATATCGCGTAACGTGCAGCCCAGGGGAGCTCAAGTAAGGCCACATCACGACAGTGTTTTCATGAAGTGTCCACCCAGCCCCCGACCCCCTTGCCTCTGTCCATCACCACACGTTGATCGTGTGGCTAATCCCTTCACCTTATATATTTCTCGGTGATTATTAGTCCAAACCCGCCCATGGATTTCTGCATCACACCAGAGCCCTTAAAAGCCATGCTCAAGAAACGGTTGGGAAGAGTAAAAGCAAATACAATTTAAATTCCATTTTTGACCTATTTTCAATGTCTCTGAACTTGGAAATGTATTACACTTTATTACTGGACAAAATCCTTGCATTTATCCCCATTTCCTCTTACCTCCCTCCATCCCCCACCCCCACCCCACACAAACATAAAGGGCCTGTGTCTTTAAAAGTCTGCACGTGCCTGCTCAAAGATACAGACCAATATTATTTCTCCAAGAGAAGAATGAGCCGCGGATCTCACACCTCCTCGCCCCCATTTGGTCAGGGCACAGAGGTGGCAGCGAGGATCCGACAGGAAGCTGGAAACTGGAAGCTGGAAGTGGACGTTAGGGCCTGGATTCCAGGTCACACGTGGGCCCTGGAGGTGGGGATCGCTGCTTGATTATGACAGCAAGTGGTAGCAATGAAGCGCAGTCTCTTCTTTCAGGGACTCGCAGGACCAATAGCCATCTTAGAAATCATTTCCATGGGAAACCATCATCGAGGTTTCTACAATTTAAAAAAGCGGCTTAGTGGTGACAACAGTAGGGTCTCAGTCAGCAGAGTGGCACCGCTCCACGTGCAGAGAAAGACGGAAGGACCCCACTGTGGCCTCGGGTGGAGGAAGGCTATGGGGACTCGGGCTCTGGGCCAACAGGCAAGCTGTGCAAGCTCATGGGGCTCAGCTTCCTCCTCGTAAGGACCTGTGACAACTGAGTCAATATCGCGTAACGTGCAGCCCAGGGGAGCTCAAGTAAGGCCACATCACGACAGTGTTTTCATGAAGTGTCCATGTTTTTCTAAAACATTTCTCTATTCCTTTTACTGCCAAAAACAGTTATTTAGATAAAACGATTATGCAGGGCATGCCACTAACCAAGAACAGAAATACACTCAAAACTCTCCCAAAACGAGCCTCTTCTCTCAGAACTCTAAGAAGGGGAGGTTCTTCAGATTCATGAGGCGGAAAATGTAGTGACTCAACCCAGATGGAAATGTATTCTAGTCCATTAACAGATATTTCACAAAGTCAGAAACATAACTAGTAAACAGAGGTATTGGGAAAACATTCAATTTCTTTAGATAATAAAAAAAAATTAAACTTAAACTATAGAACTGTTTTCAACTATCAAATGAACCATAAACATATTTTTTTAAGATATTAACGAATGCTGCCAAGACTGAAAGACAGCCAGAGTTCTCAGCCGGTGCCAGGGAAGAGCACGCCGGTGCCAGCCCTCAGCAGAGCATGTGGGCGGTCCGGGATCCAGAGCCAGGAAAAGCCTCTGTCCCTCAACCCCATCATTTCATTTCTGAGAACCTAGACTAAGAGAATTTCTCAAAGCTAGAGAAGTCACGTCCACCCTCAGGACATGAACACCGTCTCTAACAGTGAAAAACTAAAACGAGACAAACGCTGAAATAAGGAGTAAATAAACTACATGACACCCAAGGGAACGGACTATTTAAGCATTACAAACGATACAGAAAAAATCATCGTATCATCATGTGTACCCCTGATGAGTACAGCTGATGACAACTTCTAAGATGCTGGTGGAGCTCTGTTAGAGGACCCACTCTGTGTGACCCTGTTGTCTTTAACCTCCCCATTCCCGCAATTTCACCAATAGATGATTTTATTCCCTTTATGATAAGGTTTCTCCCTGTCTCATGACAATCTTTCCTCTGCTGAGCTCACTGCCTCATAGCCCACCGTGACATCCTGCTCTGCGCCCTCCTCTCACCCTTTGAAAAGCGCAAGGACTCTTGTTTGAGTGTATTATCTTCTAAAGGCCAAAGCTATTTCATTGGGCACTTGAGGCAATCACCTCTCCCCGGAGAGACTACCGGCCGCCTTCACGCTCCTCCCTGTGAGTACCAAGTTGCTCCAAAGGATCAGAGAAAGGGCTTTGTAACTTCTGAGCAAGACATGGAAGGAAGTGGCACGAATTGTAAGTGGGCCAGTTGGTAGCCTGGAGACCTCAGCTCCGCCCCTCCTGGCTCTGTCCTCTGCATATGTAAAACTTCCTCCTGTTGGCCCTAAACCTTTTGATCAGCAGAAGTAAAAAAAAGCAAGAGACTTAAACCCCTGACAATAGCGGATGGTTAGCTTGCAGTGCATCTACTTGATGGAATAATAGGCAAGCTCACAAAACAACAATTACGAATGCCAACTATGCTAATGTGGCCAAGGGCCTCCAATGTGAAGAAGAAGAATGGTTACTCAATCGTGCGTTCCCATGACGACGACCGGATAAAACGGTTTGTGCGGACTGACCAGTAACAGTTGTTGCCTACCAGGCGCTATGCCGCCGTGTGGTTAACATGCATTCAAACTCCCCAACAATGCCCTTAGAAGCCTTGTTCTCATTTTGGAGAGGAGGGAACTGAAGCACCAGGAATTCTCATTTGATCCTCCCAATGGCTACGATTTAGAACATTTTGGTAACTTTCCTAAGACCACAGAGCAGGGAGGAGAGGGGTGGGAGAAGGGGCTGGGATTTGGACACTATCTTTCTCCGGTGCCCACACTGTCGACTGACTCCCGGACTGTAAGGCAGTATGTCAGAAATTTAAAATGCAAGCATTTGTCTTTTAAAAGGACTTCTTTTCCTTCCCTCTATTGTCTAAACTAACTTTCTAGTGTTCTTCTGTTTTTATTTAAAGACCCAAAAAAGGGGGAGGGCAACAGAGGAAAGGGCTTTTTTTTAAACGCATGTGTTTGTGTGTATGGTTTTTAAAATTATGTTTTGATCAAAAGACTAAATAAATGTCAATCAAGTCTCCACTTGGGGGTTAAGGGTAGGAAATGAGGAAAAAAGGATGGAGAACCGCCAAGACGAGCCTGTTCCAAACCAAACCGAACAGCGCCAGGCAGCTGCCCGCACCATCATTTTTTTTCTATCATCTCTTTCCACCGCCCCTTCCAGTCTGCGCATGGATCCTGCAATCACGGCCCTGGGCTGACGGAGGACAGAGAATGTCACAGCGGACGCTGGTATCACAGAGCGCTACTGACAAAGCTGCGAATAAAACAGATCTCAATCCCCAGCCCTGCATTCTTCCACAAACTCATCCTGTGCCGAACTTCCCCTCAGCCAGGGACAGTCTGCATGTCCTGGAGGTTCAAATACACACCACGCCCTAAAGTGGCCAGTCCCCACATCCATGCAGCCTTAATAATGCTCCGAGCTGGACAGATCGTGGCGTTCATACATGCTATGTCATGTGAACTCAAATGACGAACGTTACATTTCTAGCAATGTCGAAGCCACGCTAGAAACTAGAGAAGGCTGAGAGAGACAATACTTGTATAAAAACTGCAAAAATAAAAATGCAGTACGTACAGTGGTCTATTCAGGAAAAACCATACGCAACAAACAAAATGAAATCCTCCCCACAAAAAAACATACTGCCGATCCAGCCCCCAAAAGGACTGCAGAGCAGGGGCCGGCAGCCAGAATACTGGACCCTCATCCGGGCGAGGGGCAACTCGGAGCGGGCAGCTTGCCCTGTGGCACCAGGTTTAAAAGAAGACATTATATGTGGCACCACCTAGAGGCAGAAGGTGAGGGGTGGTTGCTGACTGGCTCCAGAGGTGGACTCCATACCCAGTGCTCCTTCCCGTGGGTCAATGGCCTCGGCCTCAAACCCCGGTACCAGCGATGTTCGAAGTCCCCTGATCAGCCGCTCCTCGGCCATTTCCTCAGCTGGCTTCCAGAGAGACAGCAGCCTCGTTGCCACACACAGTCCGCCTGGCAGAGGCCCGCTGCCCGAAGCCCAGGAAAGAGCCAAGAACCACTGTCCAGTGGTGTGGACGCCAGGCAGCCACCCCCTGGACAACCTGGAGGCCGGCACTCCAGGGGGGGTGCTTCCCACCTGGCAGGGTGCCCTGACCCCGCTCACCTGGCAGTGCCACACTGTGCGGAGGAAGAAGAATACACGCTCCGGGGCAGGGAGTGTGATCCCCAGACACTTGGTGCCCCTCCACGCACATCCCAGGTGTCTCCTTTCTCATAGATGTGCCCCCCCCCACTAACCTGAATCTCATGCCTATTTCAGGGGCACTACATGGGGAGGGTCAGATACCCTAGGTCCTGGTGGTGCCCAGTTGAAGGATGATTCCCACATCTTCTCGGTCGAGGAAAGGGCAAATGACTATCTAGTCAGTACCAGCTCCGTGCTGGACACTTGGCGCATTGCCTCTTACTTAATTGTCAAGGACACTCCACAATTTACAAGACGTGCGAGAGGTTATCAGCCTGGGCCTCGGGTCAGGCAGCCTGGGTTCAAATCCAGGTCCGCTGCTTGCTGGTGGGTGGATCCCAAGGCTCCATAACCTGTAGGTCTCAGATTCCTTGTGTGTAAAGCAAAGGCCACGACAGTCCCCTAAGATGGGGGTTAGGAGAGCTCTCCCAGCGCTGTGGCTCCGTCGCCACCAAGGCCCCTGGTTCTGCACTGAGACAGGGCTACAGGTGGAGAGGATGGGACTGCTGGCCAGAGGCCCAGGCCCACCCACCCCGGGCAGCAAAGAGGCCTATGGGACCTCACCAGATCGGGACCTCCTCCCTCTACCCCAGGATCCCCCCACCCCGTCCCCACAGGGCCGGGCACTCACGACACTCCTTCTCGTCGCTCTTGTCGAAGCAGTCGGGCAGCCCGTCGCACTGCCAGGCGCCTGGGATGCACCGCCCGTTGCTGCACATGAAGTTGCCCGGAATGTTGCACTCGTTGGTGAAGTTGTTCCCGGGGAGCAGCTGGCTCTCTGTCGGAGAGAGGGGACAGGGCCATCAGACGGCATGGCAAAGGCGGCAAGGACCTGAGCCCACCCCAACCGAAGGGGGCTCCTGTCTGGTGTGGGCTGGATAGGTAAGACCTCTCTGGGTCTCAGTTTCCTCATCCGTGAAATGGACGGATAAAGTCCCCTGCCCCACCCCTGGGGATTCTGAGAGGACTAAATGGGGAAAAACTGAGAAGTGGGGGGGGGGGCAGGTGTCTGACGCATGTTAGGTGCTCACTGACTTATCTTCTTTTCCCATCAGAAAGGCTGGCTGTGAAATACACACATTCTTTCCTGGCCACCAGCAGTGACCAAAGCTGCAGGTTCCCGGACAGGAGTGAGCACTGGACCCCCAAAGCCTCCAACAGCAGGAACTGCCGGCCCCTGCAGTCGCTCTTGTCGAAGCAGTCGGGCAGCCCATCACACTGCCAGGTCTCAGACTCTGGGACTCTACAATCGCAGAATCCTTGAACTTGGGCCAAGTCAACAGGGATATTGGCAGATACTTTCACTTTAGAACATGGGGGCCCCAGCCCACAAAATCGACCTGCCTGAGGTCAACGAGGAGAAAAAGCCAAACTGAAAATTACACGAAGGCCTCTAACCCCCAAGGTCACTGAACTGCTGGCCACGCGTTCCTGGAGGTTTAGAGCCAAGCCCCGAGGTTTAGGTGCAACTCCACTGAACAGAGTCACAGAGTGCCACGGCCCTCACCCCAAAGCGCTCCCCCTTAAGCTAGAAAGCAAGCAGGGCATGGGGGGTGGGGAGTGTGGGGTGCTGCACTCATCCACCAATGGACTCGGGAGGGGTGATTTTTTTCAAGCGAACTAGAATGGAACCCATCTGATGGGCCTGAGCCAGCGTGATCCATGGCTGAGAGAGAAGGAGCCATCTAGAAGTAGCACAGTCTTAGGGGGAAAGGGGAAAAGAAGACCCAGGGCTCCCTCCTGAGTCATCAACGAGCATTTATTGAACATGTCTGACCAGACACTTGTGCTAGGGCCTAAAGGTGCAGAGAGATGAAGCCTAGGGCTGGAAGGGCACGTGGGGATACTAGCGAACTTATTGCCAAGGACTCTGAGGGGTGCCCACACCTGCCTGAGGGTAACGGAGGGCCCATGGGCCTCTTTCACACGCTTTGCCAAAGAGAAGCATCGCATTCCAGACCCGTGACATCACATCTTTCATGTCGCTATTCTTGACAAGCGCTATTATCTTTACTTGGAGAGCCTTTCGACCTGAGGGGTCCCCTAGCACCCCCCTACGCACCTGTCAGCACACAACGTGTGCTGCTCTCCCTCTGAGTGTCCCCTGACTTCTCCAAGCAGAAACGAGCTCTTATTCTTCTGGGTGACTATGGTCCTACTGGGCTGATACTAAACACGTCTGACAACCGGAACAAGTGGGCAACAACCCATTGGAATGACGCAGCCACCGGTGAGCAGAGCCACATCAGCCCCGGGACCGTGGGTACTTCCACAGACCGCTGCCCCGTGCGGGTGAATTAAAAACGGACAGGTATGTCTCTCCACTAAACAGGAGCGTTCAGAGCTCACTGGAGAATTCCAGAAGAGCAGCTGCAGCGAGGGGCCTCCCTCTGCCCCGACTACCCACACCCGAACCCTAACAACCCTCCACATCCCCTCCTCGCTCCGTCATCCCCTATGACGGCCAAGCACCAAGTCCCGCACGCTGGTCTCCCTGGCCACAGCCATGACTCCGGCCCAGGACGCCCCATCTCTCACCGGAGTTACTGCCACAATCTCCTGCAACTCGGCCTCCCTGCCACCCCCCGGCTCCTCTCTGTGGCCAGAGGGACCTTTCTAAAGAGCAAGTCAATCATGACCCTTCCTTACTTTAAAAAGCCACTGAATGGTTCCCCACTGTTCTTAAGATAAAGTCAAAATCCCAGGCTCTAAGAAAGGTTGGAGGAGAGAGGCGGCATTGCAGTGGCTGCTGATAGATGCAGAGATGGAAGCTAAGGGCCCCTCAGGCCGAGAGACAGACAGCAAAGACACAGTGCAGAGAGCTCTGAAGGGAATGGAGCAAAAAACGAGCAGTGATTGTGGGAACTGCAAACAGATTGTGCCACTCTGGCCCCTCTTCCACCAGCAAGTCAGACATCGCTCATCACGGCGCTCTGTCCACTGAGCCCACACTCACTATCGGATCCCTCTCGAGACAGGATTCCTTGAAAACCACCCCCCCCCCCACCCCGGGAAGAATGTGAAACCAGTTTCCTGTCTCCAGGCAAGGGCTCCAGGTGGCGGAGGGGGACCCACAGGAGAGGAGCCTAGAAGGACAGCCAGGTGCTGGGTCCCGGCCAGACATGGAAGATACAACCCAGAAAACCCCACACGTTCCGGCTGTTTCCCAACCACTGCTCAAGCCCCGCCAGCAGGTAGGGAATTCTTCAGGGCTCTGACTGTAACTGTCATGCTGTTTTGTTAGAAATACCTCCACTTGCTTTTGCAACACTAGCTCCTCCGAGGCGAGCTGCCTGAGAAGTCGCTGCAATGGTGAAATCTTGTTCTGATAAACAAGTTTCCGGAGGCAGAAAATTGGCCAGATTAGATTCCAAAGTGCTTGCTCTGAGAGTCAACAGGCTGGCAGCACACGGACTTGACAAATGAAAGGGTGTGATGCAGGGACGTAAATACCACATCTGTCAAACACAGGTGGCCCTGCCAGCCACAGGGCTCAGGGCTCATGCACAGGTGGCCCTGTAGTCACAGAGCTCAGGGCTCATGCACAGGTGGCCCTGCAGCCACAGGGCTCATGCACAGGTGGCCCTGCAGCTACAGGGCTCTGGGCTCAGGATTCATGCACAGGTGGCCCTGCAGCCACAGGGCTCATGCACAGGTGGCCCTGCAATCACAGAGCTGAGGGCTCATACACTGTTGGCCCTGCCAGCCACAGGGCTCTGGGCTCATGCCCAGGTGTCCCTGCAGCCACAGGGCTCAGGGCTCCTGCACAGGTGGCCCTCCAGCAAGGGCTCATAGCTCTGCAGGCTGACCAGGGATCCCCAGGGCCTGGCGACTGACAACATAGAGAACCATGCTTTGAGGGCTTCTGAGTACCTCTATTATGCATGCAGGGGGCACAGATCCTTGCACTTTAGGGAAATGACAATATCGTCAAAATCAAAAGCATCAGGAGAAACCAAGACAATGAGAAGTTAAATCCCATTGATTCTGTCCTCAAAAATCTTCCTCAAACCCACCCAGTGTGCCTCACCCAGATGGTACCAGCCAATCCAAGCTGCCAGTAGTCCCCAACACAGGACAATTTTGCCCCCCAGGGGACAGAGGGCAGAATCTGGAGACTCTGGGGTTCTGGCGTCTAGTGGGTTGAGTCCAGGATCGCTGCCGCCCATCTACAATGCACGGGCAGCCCCTCGCAGCAAAGAATCGCCAGCCCAGAATGCCAATGAGGCCCGGGCTGAGGAATCCCAGCTTACACCCACCTCCCAGCGTTCACTCTCAGGGCCCCAGTCCCTTCTCTTCGCAGCAGAGGGAGATTTTAACCTGCTGCTGATGGCTTCTCGGTGCCCTCACAATACATCTGGAGCTCCTGCCACGGTTGACAAGGCCCCCGTGGGATCCAGCCCGGCCTCCCTCTGAACCTCATTCCCAACCACTTCCTGGAACACAAATGTCCTTCCTGCAGGGAGGCCTCCGCCCATGCTGCTCTCGGACCTCGGTTCTCCCCCCCCTCCCCCCCCTCCTGCTTTCCCTGGTGTTCGGGGCTGAATTGCTTCCTCCCCAAATCCATATGTTGAAGCCCTGACCCCCCGTCCCTCGGAATGTGACTCAATTCAGAGACACGGCCTTTAAAGAGGTGGTTAAGGTAAAATGAGGCCGTGAGGGCGGGCCCTCACCCAATCTGACCGGCGTCTTTCTACAAAGAGGAGATTAAGACACAGAAGGCCCTGGGGAATGACCATGTGAGGACGCAGGGAGAAGACGGCCAGCTGCAAGCCGAGGACACAGGCCTCCAGGGAACCCAACTCTGCCCACTTTGATCTCAGACTTCTGCCTTCCAGGATGGGGAGAAGCTACATTTCTAGCATGTAAACCAGGGGTGGGGAACCTTTTTTCTGCCAAGTGCCATGTGGATATTGATAACATCATTCGCAGGCCATACAAAATTATCTACTTGAAAATGAGCCTGCTATATTTGGTCAAACATTTAATGAACTGACCCCTAATGCCTTGGCAGGGCCAGACCAAATGATTTTGTGGGCCTTACACAGCCCTCGGGGCTGGATGTTCCCCACCCCTGAATGGTAAACCATCCACTCCGGGGTACTTTGTTATGGCAGCCCTGGCAAACTAATACATTTGACTAATGTCGCTCAGTCTTTCGACAACAGCCTTATGTCACTCATTCTGAGATTGTGCTGACCCAATGGAAAGCTGGTCCCCACTTTCCAGTCCGGTACTGTCCCCCGTTTTCCTTTATCTCAGCCTGCGCTGACTGATGTGTCTGTACCATCTCCCCACGGAATGGCACACCCAGGAAGGCATGGGCCACCGCCTCATCCAGCTAAACATCCTTCACATCTAGTGCTCGGTGGATCTTCAAAGAATATGTGTGGCCGCTCCAAGAAGAAAACCAAGCACAGTTACTGACTCACCCCCAACCCCAGACTCCTCCTTGGAACGTTCTAGCCTCATCCCTCATCCCTCCCGAAGGTGAGTGGGATCTGTACACGTATAGTTAAAAATAAGGCACATGAGGTGTCTGGATCTGTGCGAGTAAATTACCACCCTGCCTGCTTTAAAAGAGGTGAGAAATCTTTTCACCCCGACAGCAGGACTTTCTAGTGGCTGAAATATTTATCCCATCTCAGTGTCTGGGGACACATTCAGAATCCAAAAAGACAAGCATTAGCACGAAGTAGGCTAGCGGGGGTTTCTCCTCCTCCCTTCCCTTTTTTTCATTAAGCTGAAAAATGAAAAAGAGTTGCCCATGTTCACTGCAGCACATCACTTACTTAAAATAACTACACCTTCTCTCCAAGAATGACAAAAAAAAAAAGTCCCCAGCCCTCCCCCACTGGGCAGAGGCAAACAGCCCACTGCAGCAGCGTCTTCCAAAATTTCTGGCACCCACAAATTTATACCCGATGATGAGGGGGCCAACCTGGGGCAACTGCGAATACTCAGACAGCTGCTGCGTTCCGCCCACTCTCCTGGAACGGCGGTTAGCAACGTCGACTTTCCCAGCTGAGAAATGGGAATTCCCCGGGAGCAGCTGCAGTCCGCCCCGTTCTCTGCTCTCCCCTGCTCATCGGCCGCCCCTTGGGGCCACCCCTTGTCATTGACGCCCTAGAGAACTGACATCTGCAAACCTTCCACGGGCCCCGAGTTCAGATTTCTGCCCAGTCGCCTGTTTTGATCCTCTGCTTCCTGACAATCCAGTCTGCAGGCTCCACGAACAACAAAGCAAGACACACAAACATATGCGCCGACACACAGACGGCCTAGCATTCCATTTAGCAGATCTCAAAAAATCTCTTCCCTAAAACCTCCGGAGAATGAACACACCTCTTCCCACTGCCTGGTGCCAACAAACACAGTGTCAGGAGGCCACTGAAAACAGCCATCTGTGTTCTCCTTGACTCACTTCTCCGCACACAACACACACGCCCCGCGCACGGGCACAGGGAAAGCACCCAGGGGGCTGGTCGGCAACCGTGTGTTTGCAAACATCCCTGGGAAACCCCCGAAGGTCCCTTCAACTCCAGACGGCTCCGCATGGTGGCATCCGTGTCGGACGGAGGGAGAGACATCTGTCCCCAGCATATCCCAGAGCCATTTGGTTCTCATCAAACAGACTGCTTCCTGCCGGCGTCCTGCTATGCGGAGCGCTCGCCGCCACCAAGAAGGGAGCAGTCACGTGTGCATGTCTGAGCCTGAAGTGAGGATGTGCTTCTGGCTCCAAGTACCTGAGCAGAGCCAGGACTCCAGCTCTGTCTAGACTGCGCACCGCCCTGCCTGTGAGCTCCTTCCAGCAGCCCCAGCCTCCCCTCACCCATCTGCTCAAGGAGGAGATTGGTGAGAAGGTATAACATGGCTCGTGGGTTCAGCCCAGGACTGGTGACCCTGGCACTGACAGATTTCATCTTGACACCGACCGTGAAGGGCGATCGCGTGTAATGTTACTGCTGGAACATGTATGGGTGTGTGGGTCACCTGGACAGTGAGTGGGCCCAGCTGTCCGCCCAGCATCTGCACTTCACACAGCTCTCTCCTTTGCTTCTCCCATGCGGTGATCAAATGATAAATGCTCACAAAATGATAAATGCTCTGTTTCCTTGTGAAAACGAGTCAGCAAAGGAAGCCAATGGCTAGTATTAATGAGAAAAGCACAGAGAAAGTGAAAAGGTCTGAAAAGGACAGTTCTTTACCAGGAAAAAGCTCCATAAATTATCTCTGTCCTGTATTTACAGCCTCATTACGGGCCCGAAGCTGTTACTCGCATTGTTTAGTTATGCTTCGTCGCGTTTCACGAGGAAAATTATGTCGGAGCAGCATTAACGCTGTGGGGATCTGCAGGGCTATGGTCCGTGGCTCAGGGGTTGGAGAGCCACTGGGGAGGATGCTGAGCCTCAAAGGGGAGCACTGAGCCCCGCCCACCCTTCTGCTCCCTTCTCACAGCCTTTAAGAAACCAATCATTATGGACTTTCCACTAGGGAAGATCTAACATCTGCTGAAGCTCTTAACACATGGCAGGAGTTTAACATCAATTCTCTTTATATTCCTTCACAGCTGCGCTATGAACTAGGCACCATGCCCACTGTGCAGACGAGGAAACAGTCTGAAGAAGATAGAGGACACACTGAAGACATGACATAGGTACTCATATAGAGAGAGAAAACAATATTGCACAACATTTTTAGTGATGAAATTCAAAATATAATCATTGAGGACAATTTCCTGTAATACAGGACTACTAAGGAAAAGAATGAAATCCTTTGTAAGGGGGGACGGGACAGGTAACATTTCACTTGATGGAAGTCCAAGTTAGTGCTCCCTATCATCAAACTCTATTGTAAAGTTTGCCTTTTTGTTAACCATTTAAAAGTGTTTAAAGTACTCTTAGCTTGGGGCCACGGGCCATAGTTTTCCGACTCCTGGGCTAGAAGAGAGCAGGTCCATCTGAAATAACAAGGTGCTGATCCAAAGGCACTTCCTCTCTGTCCTACCACACCCACCACACTCTGAAACGATCCTTGGAGGCTCAGTGGCTGTTCCCCCAGCACGGAGACAGGGACCTTGGCCGTTCCGTTCACCGCTGTGTCCTCAACAACCAGCAACTGCCAGGCCCCCAGCACACACACAGTGAATGCTTGCTGACTGAATGAGGTGGGAACAGAACCTGATGGCTCCTGAGAGTGTGGCCCCTCCAGCACGACACTCCCAAGTTCTGTGAATGGATCTAAACGCTGCCTGAATCCATTTCCACAATGAATGGGGCAGTGGGCCTGGGTCTGCAGAGCACTCCTGAGCTCCTGGGAGGGAAGAACAGAAGAGAAGAAGTCTGGATGAACGTTTCTGAGTTCTCTTCTTCCCACACACTCTGTCCTCACCAGGGCCAGCTGCACGTCAGGCCCGGGTGGGAGCCTGGAGCAGAAGCTGTCCCCCGCGTGTTCTCTCTTCAGCTTCACTCAGCAGCAGCAGCAGCAGGAAGTGAGAATCAGGCCGTGAGGCTAGCTGACGAGGACAACCTTATGATGAATTTCATCAGGCTTGCAGATAAGCCAGGCTCAAGAGAGAGCCAATCAGCCCTGCACTTCAGCGCCTCTCAGAGACAGCCACCGGGTCAAGAAGTAAGACTCTGCTCCCACCCAAGTTCAGCCCAGCCCCGTCTGCCCAGGGACGGCTGCCACAATTCTCACAGTCACTCACTGCAAACCGTTCTCTGCCGGCGCTCTGCTGCACAGAGACACCCTCACAGCGCAAGTATGAAAAATACCAAAGCAAATCAAAGAATGAGGACAGAAAAACTAAATGAGCTTCATTTAGGCCCCAAAGCATATCTTCCTGAGCTCAGGGCTACGGATTTCTGGAATAAGGCTCAAAAGAGCACAGGCCATAAAGACTGATAAATACAACCCACTGCATTAAAATGTAAAACTCCCAGTCATCAAAAGACACTACAAAGTTCAAAGATAAGCCACTAACTAGAAGATGGTATCCGCTACATATAGAACCCACAAAGAGTGATACCTAGCGTTTTCTTTCTTTCTGATTTTGTTTGTTTGTTTCTAAGAAGAGAGAGAGAGAGAGAGAAGAGAGAAACATCAAGATAAGAGCATAACATCGACTGGCTGCCTCCTGCACGACCCTCACTGGGGATCAAGGCCACAACCGGGCCTGTGCCCTGACCAGGAATCGAACCAGCAACCTCTGGGTGCATGGGATGATGCCCAAGCAACTGAGCCACACTGGCCAGGGCTCTAGGATTTTCTCACAAGACTAGGCAAGAAAACACAGCCAACCCAGTGGAAAACTGGACAGAGCGCATGAGCAGGTATTCTCACTGAAGAGCAAACTCAAAGAGCCACTTAATATATATATATATATACTCAAGCTCACCTACAATCAAAGAATGATTAATGCAACTGGAAGTTCTCTTTCACACCCATCACACTTAGAAAATTCTAAAGTGTGGCCACCTCAAGTGGCAAGATGGTGGGGAGCCACAGGAATCCCATGTGCCCACCTGTGGTAGAGGAACTCAAGAGCAGTTTGGCCCTAGCCGGTTTGGCTCAGTGGATAGAATGTCAGCCTGCGGACTGAAGGGTCCCAGGTTCGATTCCAGTCAAGGGCACATGCCTGGGTTGCGGGCTCGATCCGCAGGAGGGGGCATGCAGGAGGCAGCTCATAGATGAATCTCTCATCATTAATGTTTCGCTCTCTCTCTCCCTCTCCCTTCCTTTCTGAAATCAATACAAATACATTAAAAAAAAAAAGAGAGAGAGAAGTTTGGCAATTCCTAGTGCAGCTGAAGACACAAATGCCCTTTGACCCGGCCAGCCCTCCACACCCTAGGCCTGCGGGGAAACGTGCACAGACAAGACAGAGAACATTCACAGCGGCACTGCTGCAACACGAAACTGCAAGACACACTAAATGCTCACCCAAAGGAGAATGGATGAAAACTCGGGGTACGCCCACACAATGGAATATCACCCACCCAGCGCTTCAACTTACTGACCGGGGGCGGCATGAAGCGACAGGGGAAATCTGAGAAGCCTTGAGCTTAGTAAAAATGCAAACTGTGGAGGCGCAAGTCAATGGATGCCAACGGCTGTAAACGTAGTTATGAAAACGTGGGAAAGAAAGACACCCAACTCAGGAGAGTGGTTACCCGCTGGCGAATGGGATCAGAGGTACACAATGAACTTCAACTGGAAGAATTACTTCTTCAAAACCATCTCAAGGGAGCATGACAGCTTGGTAGAATTCCACGGAGCTGCGTGGAAGGCAGGCAGGCATGCTTTCTTTGTGTGACTCTTGGCACTTTTCTCCATCCTTTAAAAAATGTTTCATTAGTAAAAGTTTATTATAAAGAACAGAAATCATGTGAGCATTTGCGAGAAAAATCTACGACAGGCATACGGAACCTTTTACCACTAATAGTCCACCTTCAAAATCCCCATCAGCTATGAAAGAGTGGGAAATAAAAGGGGGCAAGTGTTCACACTGGGATTACAAGAAAGCACAGGCGAGGATGCCCACCTGGGAGAATCAGTCTATTATGAACTCTTTTCATTTTCCGAAAGGCAGCAACAGTTGCAGAGCAGCCGCGGATCGTGGAGGGAAAAAATAAACACATCTCACAAGACAGACTTACCCACCCAACCTATTAAGCCATGACATTCCAAAAATAAAAATAGCCAGGCCCAGCCAGAAGGTCAGATATTTTTTAAATACTGACTCCCCGAGACAGCAGGGTGGGAAGAGCTGCAGTAAAGCTCTCTTTCTCAGAATAGTCCACGCCACGCCGTCCGCCTCCTCGGCCCTCAGCATGGGCCTGCAGGAGGCTGAGCAAAGATAGCCTCGCTGCGGCAGCCAAGGCTGGGATCTGGCCCGCCCAGTCACAAATGCCAAATGCCTGATGCTCTTATCACTATAACCGGCTGTGTGACTTCAGACAAGTAAGTCACCCTCTCTGAGCTACTCTCTAGTTGTAAAACTAGGTAGCCCTACCTCCCAGACGGGGTGGCTGAAGTACAGAGGAATATGCCTGTCTGTCTGTCTGTCTGTCTGTCTATAACAGATAGAGGAATAAAGCAAACAGAATAGGCGGCATATACTTGGGATTCAATAAATAGTACTGGGATTTGTGACTCCTTCCTTCCCTACTAGAATTTTCCCGGACTCTCCTCATAATGCTGGTATTGCCAGTGGTACTCAGACAAGGCTGGGCACCTTTCCCTCCCGGCCTCTGTAGGAAGGGTGCAGCCTGGGGAGATGGGAAGCCTGCTGGAACTGGGGCGGGCTGGCTGAGCCCCCTGGTCACCTAGGTCCATGGGGATAGACACCAGGTATTTTGTTGTTGTTTTTGAAAATATATATTTTTTTATTGATTTCAGAGAAGAAGGGAGAGATAGGAACATGAATGATGAGAGAGAATCATTGATCTGCTACCTCCTGCACACCCCACACTGGGATTGAGCCTGCAACATGTACCGACTGGGAATTGAACCATGACCTCCTGGTTCACAGGTCAACGTTCAACCACTGAGCCATACTGGCCGGCGACACCAGGTTTTAAGAAGCTCGTAATGTGAACCTGGCTGTGTGTCTTCTAATACAACAGTGTCAGTTTGAATATTCCTAAGAAGTAGCCCTGCTTGGACCATTCCTCAGGCCCTTTAACAGCAGTCAAACTGTTAACACGAACCCACCCTTCCAAACAAGGAGGTGACGAAGCAGGTCAAAGAGAAAGGCACATGGGATCCCCCACTGGGGTCTGGGGGAGTCTCTCACCTCCCTGGCCTCAGTTTCCGCTTGTGTAACCAAGGACAGCAATAGATGACACCCAAGTTCCTTTTCAGCCCTTCTTGCCTGTGGGGACACAGACCAGTTCTCATGGCAGGCAGGCACTCACCAGCTGCCCCTTCTAGACGCATTCTTCAGATTTAAACATAATACCAGGATTTACACAGAGTTCCTCCTCTAAAGAACCAAAATCATCCCTACAAGGCAGGC